ACTTTATACTCTGAAATTGTCAATTTATGTTGAACTTGAAGGAGTTTGGCAGAGTCCGAGTAGGTCAACCTGCAGGCGTAACTATTTTTGACCTAATCAGTTTTTAAACAATGTGCATTTGAAGGAGTTAATTAAAAGAGCCAATAAAATGATTTTACTCATTCAGTATCTGAGTACTGGAAATACTTTAGTATAATGAGGGAGAACTTTTTTGTAAATTTAATGCAATTGAAAAAGTTTTAAATTCAATTAAGATAACTAGAATTGGATTATGGTGTAAAAATAAAAAAAAAATTATTCATATCAGTTTCAAGACTGCTCTGTCCCTCTCATGTACACATACATGCCTAAGACAAATCATGTGGTTCAGTATTTATCTTCACAGTTTTACAGCAAATATGATGCAGGGTGGGTGGAGACAGGGTAGGTCTGCAGCATCATAATGCTGTTCATAAACTGGATGTGAGCTGGGTGCTGGCTTCTCAGAGGATAAACACCTTTGGGAGTGTCATTTTTACTTAATGTTGGACATCTTTTCAAACAAAAACTACCATGGATCTATTATAAAGTAGATTTGACAAATGTTTAAGATAAAACATGGGTCTTCAGAGAAATATCTGTTTATGGCAGACTGTTCTGGACCATAGAATCACTTGTTTTACAAATTCCCTGTTTCCTCATGTGGGATCATTTTCAAAATCTTCTACCAATAAATGGTGATTGAGAGGATAGCACAAAGTAAATAATTTCTTATGTGGATAAATATTCATTCCTCCTTGATATAATGATTTTTAAAAGCAACATCTTTTTTTTATTTTTTTTGAGACAAGATCCTTTGTCGCCCAGGCTGGAGTGCAGTGCCACAATCTCGGCCCACTGCAACCTCAGCCTCCCAGTAGCTGGGACTACAGACATGTGCCACCATGCCTGGCTAATGTTTGTATTTTCTATAGAGATGGTTTCATCATGTTGCCCAGGCTGGTATCAAACTCCTAGATAAAAGAGATCCACCTGCCTCCGCCTCCCAAAGTGCTGGGATTACAGGCATGAGCCACTACGCCCAGCCTGAAAAGCAACATCTCGTCAGTGCTATAATCTCAAAGAGCTTGTTTGCAAGGTGTGATGGTTAATACTAAGTGTCAACTTGATTGGATTGAAGGATGCCTTTATTGTTTCTGGGTGTGTTTGTGAGGGTGTTGCCAGAGAGACTGACATTTGAGTCAATGGCCTGGGAGAGGCAGACACACCCTCCATGTGGGTGGGCACCATCCAGTCAGCTGCCAGTACAGCTAGAACAAAGCAGGTGGAAGAAGGTGGAATTGGCTTGCTGTCTTCTGGCTTTCATCTTTCTCCTGTCCTGGATGATTCTGCCCTTGGACATCAGACTCCAGGTTCTTTAGCTTTTGGACTCTTGGACTTATACCCATGGTTTGCCAGGGGCCCTCTGGCCTTTGGCCATTGACCGGAGGTTGCACTGTTGGCTTCTCTGCTTTTGAGACTTTGGACTTGGACTAAACCATTACTGGCTTCCTTGCTCCTCAGCTTGCAGACGGCCTATCATGGGACTTCACCATGTGCTTATGTGAGTCAATTCTTAATAAATTTCCTTCATATATACATATATCCTGTTCTGTGCCTCTGGAGAACCCTGACTAACACACATGGGTCACTTCAAAGAGAAGCTAATTTGCATAGATTAATTTTCACTTTAATAAAGGAACTAAGATCTTTAATCATAGAGGGGTTTTCTTTTGAAACTTTGTAATTAAGCCTTGCTTCCAAATAGCTTCAAAATTAGCTTTTGATAGAGTTGTAATTTTTATGTGTCTGAAGGAAATTTAATTTTATACTTAAACCAGACTCAACATTTAGAGAAGCTTTACAAATCGTTCAAAACTTGGGATAAAAAAATATAATAAAGGCATAGTTTAGTGGGACTGGAAATCAAAGGTTTCTTTTGATCTAACACCTACTTAGCTTAGTCCTCACTTCTAGTGGAATCATTAGAGGGCCACTGTCTTGATGGGAGGGTTCTTGTGTTTTTTGTTTTTGTTTTTGTTTTTTTTTTTTGAGAAAGGGTCTTGCTCTGTCACCAAAGCTGGAGAGCAGTGGCACAATCAGGGCTCACTGTTGCTTTGAACTCCCGGGTTCAAGTGGTCTCCCACACGACAGCCTCCCATGTACCTGAGACTGCAGGTACATGCCACCACACTTGGCTAACTTTTAATTTTTTTATTTCTTGTAGAGATGAGGTTCTTACTATGTTGCCCAGGCTGGTCTCAAACTCGTTGGCTCAAGCAGTCTTCCTGCCTCAGCCCCCCAAAGTGCTGTGATTACAGGTGTGAGCCACGACACCCAGGGACCACTCTCTAAGAGCGATTATAATTGTGGGTTTACCCCATCAAAGCTCTTATCTGTAATTTTATTTTCTTTCCTTTCCTGGAGAGCAGAGACTGGTCTACTTACAGTTCTTCATTCATCTGTTCTGTCATATAACTTGAAGATTTGAAAGAACCCAATTGTTAAGCTTTCTTGAGCATCTAATCTATTGTGAGTTATATGGTCTTGGTAATTAAATAAACAGGAACAATTTGAGAAAAATAATACGTGCAACTGCCATGTGACAAAATCTGTAAAGATAGATTTTGTGAAGTAAAGAGGTCAAACTCAAACCAGATTGTCACAAAAGTGATGATCAGGGCAGGAAATTTGGGAAACAAGAAGATTAAGACTTGCCAGAAATACAGAGCAGTGATGTTAAGAAGGTATAAGGGAAAAGGGTGAAGTTACCTCGAATGATGGGCTGAGTTCAGAATCTTGTGTACTTATGAATCTTGTTTCAGTTCCTCACCTTTACTACAGTGATAGACACCTGCACCTCATCTCAGGTCCCCTGCTCTGTGACTAGTAGACAAATGCTTCTCAAATGACAACGGCCATATGAATCACCAGGAGATGGCGTTAAAATGCAGGCTGATTCTGTAGGTCTGGGCTGGATTGGAGACACTGCATTAACAAGCTCCCAGCTGATGTTGAGAAATACACTTTGAATAGAAGGCTCTCATCCCCACTCTGTCCTTATTCTGTTCTGCCTTTAAAAAAAAAAAGAAGATCAAATAGGGAAAAAAGACTTATAAGGAAACCAACTTTCTGTCCTTTTGACCTCCATCTCTCTTCCTCTTACTGAGGCAACCACTTTCAGACACGCTGGTGTATATCTCTTTTCCTATCTCTAAATACTATTGCAATCTCATTATTTTTAATAGAGATGCCCAGGCCACAATGTGGTGGCTCATAGCTCACTGCAACCTCGAACTCCTAGCTCAAGCAGCCCTCCTGCCTCAGCCTCCCAAGTAGCTGGGACTACAGGTATATACCACTATGCCTGGCTAATTTTTTTGACTTTTTATTTATAGAGATGGGATCTCCCTGTATTGTCCAGGCCAGTGTTGAACTCCTGGCCTCAAATGATCTTCCCACTTCAGCCCCCAACATAGTTGGGATTACAGGAGTGAGCCACCACGCCTGATTGTTGCTGTCTCTTTTCATTACTCTTTTTTTTTTTTTTTGAGACGGAGTCTCCTCTGTCGCCCAGGCTGGAGTGCAGTGGTGCGGTCTCGGCTCACTGCAAGCTCCGCCTCCTGGGTTCACGCCATTCTCTTGCCTCAGCCTCCCAAGCCTACAGGTGCCCGCCACCAGGCCCAGCTAATTTTTTGTATTTTTAGTAGAGACAGGGTTTCACCGTGGTC